ATGAAAGCCTGATATTCCAAAAGACCTAGGAAACTTTTTTACTGTTTAATTGCTTTAGACATGGAAAACTGTATTTTGTCAATGACTGTGCCTGGAATAAGGCATGTCTTACCCAAACAAGTGACTGCTAGGAACTTCTCAGCCAATCTTGGTCCTCGTATCTTTTGTGAGTTGATGGCCCATCCTCTGGATGGGAAAAAAGTACACAATGCATGGAGGTGCTGCTGCAGCAATAGTGAGTCTTCAGAAGTTGGCATAGTATCATTGTTAGAATGAAACTGTTTAACAGCAGGTGGCAGTGAACACAAAGTTAAATCTCTAGCGATCATTCCATGACAAACAGTTGGGCTGTGGCGATAACGCTCGGGCAGCACTTGGAACGTCCATTGTTTGCTATTCCAAGAAAAAGCATATCGGTACCGTGAGTCAGGGTGCAAAGCGCTACATTTGTATTATTTGCTCTATCACTTAGATTATATTAGGCATAGTGATGCATATCTCTGGAACCATCTTATTTTGTTCCTGGTAGTCTACTCTCATGTTCCAAGTGCCATCAGGTATTCTTACTGGCTGTACAGGACTCTAGAAGGGACTCTGGAATGGCCACATAATATTAACTTTGGTCAGCTCCTGCATGGTGCCTGCCATTTCTTTTATCCCACCTGTAAGTGGATATTGATTCACATGAATAATACACAGTGGAAGAGGAAGGTGTACCAGTTTCCATTTTGCTTCTCCTTTTAAAATAGCTTTTACCACCCAAACTTATGGGTTAATTCCCTCACAGACATTTGTAAAGTGCATTCAAAATGGACATTCATACTGAAGATGTTTTCTGGAATAAATGAGATAAAAACACCTAATAAGTGGGGGTTATCTGCCCAATACAAAGGGGCAAAGGAATCTGTTTCACTTGGAGTTGCTCACCTCCAATAAACATCCACAGCAGCTCACTTACCAGGGTGTCTCTCTGGGTTTCCATGAATTATGGTGCATTTTTCACCTATGTCCACTAAAGCTAAGGCTTTCTGCTTGTTTTTTGGAATCTAATAGTTCGTGAGATCCACATGGGGCCTCTGTTTGCCCCCTATTGCTGGCAGGTGGAGGCAACAGTCTCTAGACTGGGGAATAGTCGCCCCTGAAATGCGGAGAGATTGGAGTTGTTTTATGTGAAGTTCCTTCTTTATCTCCCTATTATGGTGGGGCTCTAGGAAGAAGTGTAACATGTTGATCCGGTGCCAGGTTTTTCTAAAGGCCAGCTAATATGGCATTGTGTTTCTGATCTATTTTTTCTTTGTCTTCTCCAGCTGAGATCAGATCATGCCATATCTGTTTCCTGGTAAACCTAACTAGGCTGTTCATTTCTCCCTTTTTTAGTCTGGCAGACTTGGCTTCTCCTTCTCTACCCCCATCTTTTTTTAGTAACCAGACAGACCTTATCTCTTTCCTTTTTATTTTCTCCAAGATTAGCTATAGCTTTCTCATGTAATATATATCTTGTCCCACAAGAGGGCTTAAGAGGCATATGAAAGAACCATACCAATTCTATGGTTGGTGGAGACAGGATAGCTTGCAACAACTTTTTTCCCATGGTAAACACAGTCTTATCTGGTCCTGTGAATTACTAGGCATAGCTGGCCTGAGTGTGCCCAACTCCTTTAAACTGGTCCTGGTTTCCTCCCGCATCCACCTTGCCAGAGTCTGACCTGGAAAATCCCCTTCATTTGGCCAAGCCTCTGTCACAGCCAGGATAATCTGATTTGTAAGACTATACTTGACCTCAGGAGTTCCGGCACTATGCAATGCTGTCTTAAAGGGGATTGAGCTCATTTTATCAGCTTCAGTTTCTGCTAAGGAAATGCTATTCACACCTGCATCATCCATGTAGCTCAGCTTTCTCTTGGCTACTGTTTGAAAATATTTTGCTAAGTTCAACAATTCTGCCAAGGTGTAATTTTGGACATTTAAAGCTTCCTGTTTAAAGGCTGTCCATCACTGCCTAACTGCAGTGATGGGCTTTTGTTTTCCACTGCATGAGGGGTGCCGCTCTCAAAAGGGAAGGATAATTAGCCTCCTCCTCTTGAGGTGTGTCTTCATCTCACTCAGTAATTGGTTCCTAAGGACAACAAGTTTTAACATTCCAGTCCAGTTTAGGAAGAACAGCTTGCATTTTTGGCCAACACAGCTCCATCCCTCCTAACCATACAGAGAAACAAGCTAGGGGTTCCAGATGAGTATCCTGAGTTTTGAGCTTATCTGCCAGACCACATGCAAACATGGAGGTGGAGGTCCTCATATACTTTTCTAACTGTAGTTCTTCCTCTAGTGTTAGTACCTTCACCTCAGCTGCTAACTACGCTTCTGTGGCCATTCCCACAACCTGTAACAGTGAGTCATAAGACTTGCTACTAACAAGCATTCTAGACCCTCTAGCATTTTCAGAGCATCCCTGTACTCACACAATGGTCCACGGGCATCTAACAAGTAGGCAACACCACCGCAGGCATTAGCAGGAAATAGCAGATACAGACATGGGAGAAACATGTTTATTTTTATTCTTTAGGACCCCCGCAATTGGGGTAGGTAAAGATACTACAGGTCAGTGATGCAAATTCAGAAGAGAAGAGATGGTCTGCATTGATTTGGAGAGAGATGAAATGGTCCAGTTTAATTCTTTTACTCCATAGTAACTGGTAGACTAATTCTAGATGTCCACTTTACAGCTACCTCTAGTTTTTGAACTTGCAAACAAAAGAGAACTTCTCTTTACAAGAATCATCCTTCCATTTCTCGAATCCTGGAAGCCAATGAGAAGATTCAAACTGAGGGGATCAGAATGCATTGCCCTCTAGGCTGCAGGACTCAGGAAAACTCAAGAGGAAACACTCCTCTATTTCCTGAATGAGGAGCTCACCCTTCCTCTATCACAGTCCCCAGGTCAATCCTCAGAGATAAGTAGGATAGGATGGCAGTAAGCGTGTGGATGCTGTGCCTCTCCCCGAGCTTGAAGTCAGCTTTGCACAACAGGCAATACTGGCACAGCTTGGGGCTCCAATGTCCCAGGATTTGTAGGAGATCAGGGACCCACTGCTCCAGTGCCAGTGGCAGCTCTAGATGGAGAAGGGCCAGAGCAGAGGCGGACGAGACACAGAAAGAGAAAGAAATGCCTGGTTTGTGTTTGACTTGTGTTTCTTGACTCAGAAACCAGTCAAGACATAAGGCAAGGATAAACCTCACTTTATCTCTGAGTGTCATGTCATTTCCTCCACATTTTCTCTAAGCTTCTCCTTTCCTGGAATCTTCACCTGCCTCTCTGTGTCCTGCCAAACAGTAAGTGTTCTAAATATGATGCAGAGAACCATAAAACATCATTATTGAAACCGGTTCCTGATTTTTCTTTCTTGAGGCCCCAAAAGTTCATATCCAGCATAGCACTGGATGGCCATTAGTTGCTGATATATTATTTGGTACACCTTGAGTTTCCCAAATACAAGCAGCACATTCTCCTCCTCTATTCTCTTTCTCTATATGGTTTACAAGATGATAACACAATAGATAAGAGATGTGTAACAAATATATAAAGATGCTACCCTGGAAGTAGTAGACAAAATGAGTTTACTGTGAATGTCTGAAACACAGAGGAAATTCAGTTTTAAGCTTATCTCTAAGGACCTATAGAGAACCTTAATATCCTGTACATTATAGGATTTATAGAGAGGTTGCTTTTTTCATAATATGGTAAAAACCGGTGTTTGCGGTGCCAGGCGTCACACCTCCTTCTTCCCTCCGGAACCTGATAATGAGGTAGAAGATGCAGCAGACTGACCCAGTGGGAGTCATGGAGATCAATCCAGACATTGCAATCCTTGGTGCCTCTCTCTTTAATCAGCAAAGCCACGAAGGCACCCTCGGCCTGGGTGAGCACAGACACCAGGTTACCCAAATTCGTATTCTGGCGGTAGAGTTGTTGGAGAGGAAAATGGAGCACTCAGTGAAGGAGGAAGTTGTGGGGGACATAGTGAGCCCTCCCAAAGGATGTGATAGTAAAAGGACAGCACATGATGCTTTCCCTGGCCACCAGCATCTCTGTGCTGAATGATGGATTAAGTATATTGGAAAGTTTTGGGCTGATGATTGGATGAGGAGGGGATTAGTCTCATCTCATATCAGCCACTGAACACACTGGAGAGAGGCAGCTGCCTCTACCTTCATGAGCTTCCCTTCCCACACTGCTCTCCTCACCCACATCTGCATCAATCCAGGTCTCAAAGTCTTCATTAAAGTAGTAGCAGTAGGATCCATAAACATTGGTGCCTTCTGGGCAGCTGACCTGGGACTTGGGCAACTCTGTCTGGCCATCCTATCCTGGGAAAAAAGAGACATTTAAGAAAGACTCTCAGGGCAAGGAAAAAGGCTAAAAGGTGAGGTAGGAGCTTCTGAGGATTCTTTATAGGAATAGAAGGTTGCTGGACGCCATGAAGTGATTGGTCACTTCCATTCTCCTGCATCTTACTTATAGTCTCTCAAGATGTCTTTGCTCCAGACAAGAGCACACAAATAAATAGGCTAATGAAATGTGTTCCCATTGTCCCTTTTACTTCCGGGGCTCAGGCTTTTTCTGCCTTGAAGGACTCAGGCTTCTGCCTTTCTCAAGCCTGTCTGGTTTTCTCTACTCACAAAGATCCCCTCAATTCCCCATTCCACTAATGACTGTCTACATACAGACATCCCCATACCCCTGATTATGAATAGAGTTAATATGATAAACCAGTGCCAGTTGCCATGGTCACTGATAAAGGGTCAAAGCAAGTTCCATTTCTAATTACCTAATGAGGTGAGGATGTTTTTGAATGGCATGAGATCAGCAATAAATATCACCGAACAACACAAAACAACCCCTGACGTTGACTCTGCTTTTTCCCAAGTGAACTCATATGCATTAGGATGGAGTGAAGGCTTTAGGGCTGGGGTTGTTGGAGGTGTGGGGGAAAAAGTCTCACCTTGGCTCAGAGACAGGAACATCAGGCAGGAGATCAGCATGAAGCATGCATTGGTCTGAGCCATGCTGAGCAGCAGTGAATCTCTTGCTTAAGGGGCAAATCAGAACTCTCTATAGAACACAAGGAAGAGGGTTTGAGAGAATGAGAGCAGAGCACCTATTACCTTCCTTAGATCCTCCTCTGAATTCCTGACAGCAGGAAGGTCCTCTGAGATATCTACATTCCCAAATATTTCTCTTGAGAATCTGGAACCTATACAGACTCAGTAACCCAAAGTAACTTTGGCTCCCATTGAGGCTTCATTACTGCTGACGTCTCTTGGACAGATATGATGCATCTTCCCCAAGATTTTAGATTACAGCCTTTGTCCTTCTCCTGTAAAGGTGTCCTCCTGCTGAATGCTCACCTACCTCTCAGCTAAATCTGAGGTAACTTTTCAGGCCAGGTAGTGGTAGAGATTTATAACAGGGTCTGAAAGACCTGTTTAAGCAAGCAGTGTTTAAGCAAGGGGTGGAGCAAGGAGTGAGAGACAGCGGTCCTACAGAGGGCATTGACAGTAAGAGATTCTGGCATCAAGAGGAGCTCTCCTGGTATATCCTGGGAAAGGCCACAAATAAGGTCCCTTCCTCCAAACTGGAAAACTTTCCAAGTTCAAAGCAGATCTTGCCCTTGCCTGGCAGAAACCAGATGTCCTATTTTGTAGCCCTGAAGATCCAGCAAGGAAAGAAAGTAGAGCTAAAACTCAATTCTTCTTTTTTTTTTTCCTCCTTTCTTCTTATTCTAATACACTGTTTTGTTTGTTTGTTTTGTCTATGAGCACCCTCCACTTTCAGGCTCTGTCAGTCCATGTATGGTCAGTCCTTCTGTGCTGCCCATTTCCTGGCAAGACCACTGCCTGCATCACCCTGATATAACTTCCCTGTGCTTCTCAAACCATTCCTGCATTTCAATTTTGACTGTCCCACAAGTAGCTGAAAAGCCCATACTTTTCTTCCTCTGTTGAATGCACCTAAAGACAATCAAGGTCACTCTCTATCTTTTGCCAAAGGAGCTCTAGGTTCTTTCCGATAATCTCCCTTATTGGATTTGCTGCCTTGCCTTCTGACCCTACCATCCAGTAGAATCTCCTATTGCTTATTTTCAATATTGGCATTTTCTCTATTTAGCTAATTAAAGAACACCACAGGGTCAGACCTAAGAATTCTCCCTCATAGTGTCTCCTTAGCATAGATTAAAATATCCTTAGAATATACCAGAAGATAGGTTAACATCTGCTAATTAAAATTTTGGCGGTACCAAGTCTTTGGTCTTTGGAGAAGGTAATTATAACTCACAAGAGGAATCCAGGCTAATCCCCATATGTGGTTTCTCCCTGTAAACTAAGTTTCTTAGTTTAACTTGGCTGTGTGACAAATTTTCACTTCCATTGAGGTTATTGACTGAATTCAGTTCTTTGTAGTTGTAGAGTTGTAGCAGTAACATCCCCATTTCCTTGCTGGCTATCAGCTTAAGTGTCAGTCTTAGCTAGATTCCTTGGCACAAGAGCCCCTCCATCTTCTAAGCTAGCAAGGGGACAGTGCATTCTTTTCAGCCTTCGAATTTCTTGACTTCCCCTTATGCTGCCAGTCAGAGAAAATTCTCTGCTTTCAAATGGCTCATGTGATTAGACTGGGCTCCTCCAGGAATCTCCCAAACCTCCTTTCTTATTGAGGTAAAGTCAATGAATTAATGACCATCATTGTATCTTCAAGAATCCCTTTTGCCATATAATATAACGTAGTTGTGGTTTTTTTGATCTCCTTCTATTTACAGGTTCTGCTCACATTCATACGGCACACATTATATAAGATCAAGATGGAGATCATAATTCTGCACTGCACAGCACACCACGGCAAATAATTCAATCTCCCCTGAGATGAACCTCCCTCAAACTTGTATGGGGAGAAGAATTACTCTATTTCCCACATGGAAGGACCAAAAGACTCGATGCCTAAGACATTTCCTCTGGACTTTCATGTTCATGACCTTTCAGCTAATCTCACCCTCATCCAACCAGTCCCCATTTGTGTAACGCTTCAGTCCCTAACAATTTATCTTCACATCTTTTGAGTAAATTCAAATTACTCAATTTATGGCTGCCAATCCTCAAGAACAGTCCCTCTATTATTGATAGTGGCTGAAGTACCCTTGCTAAAGCCCCATAAAACATTTCGCCCTCCTGCTCCAAGTCAGAGTGGCCCTTGAGACTCTTCTTAGGCCAAGAACATTTTCAAATAAAGTCTTAAGCTACTGATGCTTTGCTCGATTTTCCTCCAGTGTTCGGTAGGCTATATCATGTAGGTTTGTGTAAGTACAGTCTTTGATGTTTGCATGAAAATGAAATCACCTAAGGCTGCATTTTTGAGAACATATCCCCATTGTTAAACAAACTATAACTGTATTCTGTGGTACCTTATACTCAAAATGTTCAAAGATTCCAACTGTTTAATGGACAGCATTTTAAACGTTATTATGAAGATGGTTTTAGATATATAAACTCTTTAAAAAAAGGAAAATCCTAAAATGTATTTTCCCAAGTATTGTTGCGGATGGGATAATAAAAACATAGACTGTATAGTCCCAAATTTTAATAGTGCTCTGGTTTATTTTCTTCCACACTTTTTTTCTTACAAGATTCCCTAATCTGTGACCCTTGTGAACTCCACAGTATTTGATATTTGGAAGTAGTTTGGAAAGAGATTTGTTTAACATTCAGGTTTCCTTTGGGAAGACATTCTTAGAAAGCTGAGCTGTTTCTTAGGGAAGAACAATGGGACTATCCTTAGTACTATGCAGTACTAGATACAGTGTTAGGGTGAAGTTCATAGCACTTTCAGACGCTATGAAGGAAAAGGAAAGGAGAGCCATTGTCAGACATGGCTAAGCATGGAGGGGTGGGTGACCAGAAGAACAGGCCAGGATAACACGGCTGACAGATGTAGGTTAAAACAAACAAACAACAAACAAGAACAACAACAATAAAACCCCACAAAATATCTGCATTTTTCTTTTTCTAGAAGGAAAATGAAATGGAAACAGCAGTAGAAATAAAGAGATGCATCTCAATACTTTTCAGTTAATGTTCTTTTCTTCCAATGTGCTACAAATAAAAATAATTTAATTTCATGTCAAGAATTATAAAGGCTCTGAGATTTTACCCTACTTGCAAGGTAAGGTAGACTTCCACAGTTTGATTGATACTGGCAAAAGACAAAGGACTTTGTATTACTCATGGTACCATAAGTAGCACAAGCAGAAACGTACTCACTCTAGGTTCCCTTACTCCAAGTTTCATAGAAGTGACATCGATGGGCAGACAGATGTGATGCCTTCACATTGAGTGGGTTATGTTACAGGGGAGAAATATCCCCTGCAATTACATTATAAGAGCTTAGGAAACCTGAATCACTTATAATGGGCAACAGGCAAGCCTACCCTTCACTTCAGAGGGGGACTACTTTATTATACCTGGGAGTAAGTATGTCTGTTTTCATTATGAATGGAAACTTTCAAAACTATAAGCAAACCTACTCTTTGCTCTGGAGGAAGATGCTGTCTCTATTTTTAAAGATTTTTCACTACACGAACATTCTTGAAAGATAGTCTTAAAAAAAAATGGCAGTAAATGCCTCTGCTTGCAAGAAATGAAGAAACATGAGAGACACATAGATAATTGTCTCTCAACTCTTCTCTGAACATTATTTACTCTCTCCATAAAACAAGAGGGCTCTTTACACTTAGGGTAGACTATGACTTTTAGAAAAAGATGATTTGTATGGATTTAACTGTCTGAAGAATGGTCTGTGGGAAATTGGTAGCAAAGAGATGATAAGCTTTTGAAAATCTTTAAAATGATGGAATTGAAGAAGGAATGCACCAAAAGCATTATACAACTGGAAAACTTTCTCATCCCTATGATAAATTCCAAGTAGCACCTAAGACATTACATGCACATTCTACAGGCAGCATAACTAACATTTTCTTGAGAGAATATCTCTTGGTGTCTAAATACCTCAACTCCACACAATGTTTATGTTCCTTGGTGCAACATTTTTTTCAGCCAAAGTTTATATAAGAACATTTTATATATGCATCTCCAAATAGCAGTGTAAATATTTTAATGCAATTATAAGTGGGCTAAATCTCTAGTTACATTTCAAGCACAATGAATGAAGAAACAGAATCGTGTGTACTTTGAAAACGATACTGAAGGTCAATAAAGTGGTCTTGGTCATTGGTCATACTTGTTGCTGGTGCAAAAGAAGCCTCATTGGACCATGGCATTTCATACAAAAAAATTGGTTTTTAGGAAAAACATTAATCATCTACCAATCAGGGAGTTAACTTTTAAAGAATTTTTTATCTTAGCATGATATTTTCCCATTTATATATAGATATTTATATGTTACAGAGTTGGTTGAGGGTTTGTGGTGAACACCTAACATATTAGATTTCTAAATACAAATAATGAGATGCAAGCTTACAGGTAGAATTTTTTTACTAAAGTCAGAGTTTCAGAGAATAACTGGAGCTGGATTTAATTGGAATGATTATTTTTATCATCCTGCTCTGCGACCATCATATTCTACATTGACAAGTACTGGTCATTTTTATTAGTTGGGGACAAAGAGTAAAATCAAGAGATAAGATGGGCTGTCCAGAGGAGGAATCCTCAGTCTACTCTTATCTACTGCTTTCTTCTTCTGTGAATCTCTCCTCAAAGATCCACCTTACTCCCATGTAACCTCTTGCAGTCTTTCCTGGAAGATCTCTTGTTTCTCCCTCTGCCTCTCAGGGACGTGGGAACTGGGCACCTGGGAGCACCCAGAGAACAGAAAACTCCACCTTTACCTGAAGGAAAGTCTGTTCTGACTATGGGAGGATACCTTATGTCCCACCTGCTGCCTGAAAGAGCATCTCACCATGCCAGAAATCTCTCTGAGCCCACTCACCTGTGCCTCTTCTCAGTGTCCTGGGGTTGCTCTGCTCACTTGCTTGGCTCTGATTTCTGCTCCTCCCCACATCAGGTGCTGTTAATAAAAGATCTTCCTCATCTACCCTGGCAAACCCATTTCAGCAGGAAATTGTGTAAGAGAACGTAAAAGGAGATCATTTATTGTCTCCACCTCTTCTTTCCCCTATATCTGCTTTTTGTAATTTAACAAATATAAAAAATGTCTACAGTGTCATTTTTAATAGTTCAATCACATTCGGTTCAATAAATGTATCACAATTTATTAAATATACCCTGTTTGTTAGACGCCTATATCTTTAATTTCCATTTTATAATGATTGTTTGCAATGGTGTTTCCTGAGAGATTGAGAGAGAGAGATAGAAAATGTAAGCACTTGTTTCTGAGAAAATGTCTGTCAGGAAAGAACTGGTTATAGAGTCCCTAAATTGTTAAGGAATTACTAAGCAGTCACTTGGTTTATAGACCTAGAATATGGTTGTCAAGTGGTCTTACTGGAGTTATAGGTAAATTAATTATCATAATGTTGAACAGATCCTTGAGAGAGCAGTAATGTTCACTTGGAACCTGTTTTTAGAAAGAAGAGTTTACAAAATATTTAATAAGCAACATTTACAAATTTTTTTACATTAACCTAATTCCTTTTTTTTTCTGAGGAGAGGGCAGGACTTTGATTTTACCTTCATCAGATGACCCATCAGCTTGTCTAAAATATGAAATATCACCAGCCTTTGGCTTAAAAATCATGTTACCTAAACTTTCAGTATAAATGAGGCTGGTTACTTTCAGAGAGAATCTTGAAATGACCATGGCTTTTTTTATACTACCATTTAAGCAAAAGAAAACTATGATAGAACCTGCACAATGTAAATTGTCAAAAAAAAAAATAACTGAAAAGGAACAACAAAAGACATAAGAAAAATTGAAAGAGTGATACTTCTTAGCTGTCAGGTGTCAACAGTAAACTGACAATAAGAAAGTGGTTGGTTTCTAATTTAAAGACTGCCAAATTTGGGATGTCTTCCCTTTCTGTACATTTGTATAATTTGATTATCTTATGGCATAATGTGGTGTTTGGGGAATACTAAGTAACGAAGAAGGCTTGTACAATTTTTCCTGTTTCTTAATCTTAACAGATTATGATATCAAGTCTTACCCAATTCCAGTTCTCCGCCTGAATGTATGCACAGTGATATTCCCTGGGTACATATCTGGCTTCATTGCTTCACTTACGCTTTCTTTAAATAGTAGCCAGGTGTGTTCCTCTGTGAAAATCCAATCCCTATATCCTCCTGACAGGGCATTTGATAATGATCACACCCCAAATCCTGGGCTGTTTATAACTTGCAAAATTCAACAAGTGTAATATATCCTCTTTCCTGTATTAGTGATTCAATGATGTGCAATAATTTAGGCTTTAGTAACTAGCCCTTGGCCCTGGCCATGACGATTTTCTGTTTTGTCCAAAAAGAGAGACATTTAGGATTTTTAAAAAATACATTTAGAAAATAGCCTATGTTTCCCCTTCTAGAACTGATAAAGAATTGGTAACACCAGTTGCTGATAGCAAGTATCTTGAGTTATAAAAGGAAATCTGTATAGAGAGACAAAAAAAAAAAAAGACATACAAAGGAAAGAGAGCACAGAAAAGAAAATCCTAGAGAAATGGCACTTGAGCTCTGATTGAACAGTTTCCAAAGACTACTGACTCCTAAATTCTTGGTGTTTATGTATTCAAATTAACATCATTACATTTTTAATCCAAATTATATAGGGATCTTTCTTGTTTGCAATTACAAATGTCCTATCTTTCACAAATGGGCTTTCCAACTGTAAGAACAGGATATGATTTCCACAACTGTGTTAACTCACCCATCATTAAAGGGAGAACACAGACTAAGATGAACTGGTTTTTATACCAGTACCATAGGTTTCGATTTCTACAGTTTTGCAATATAGTTTGAAACCAGGAAGCAATGCCTTAAGCTTTGTTCTTTCTTGAAATTGCTTTGACTATTCAATGTATTTAGTGGTTTCATATCAATTTTAGAATTTTTTTCTATTTATGTGAAAAATGCCATTGGAATTTTGATATGCATTGCATCAATTCTGTAGATCATTTTGAGGAATATGGACATTTAACAATATTAATTTTTCCAATACACGAACATGGAATACTTTCAATTTATCTGGGTCTTTTAAAATTTATTTCATCAATGTCTTATAGCATCAGTGGTAATAGACATGCTAATTAAATTGTGATATATATATCAAATATACAGATATATGTATATATATATATATATACAGTCTGTATTTGCCAACTAAATATTTTAAAAATAAGAGCTTGCACAAGTACAACTGGTGTGGAATTTTCTAATCCATTTTATTATTTTATCCAAGGAAGAACATCTAGTCTTGCGACATCACCCAAAGACAAATTCTTTATCGAGGAGCTTGTTTTTTGAAAAGATCAACAAAATAGACAGACTGCTAGCCAGATTAATAAAAAAGAAAAGACAGAATAATCAAATAGATGCAATAAAAATGATAAAGGAGATATCACCACCGATTCCACAGAAAAACAAACTACCATCAGAGATTACTACAAACAACTCTATGCACATAAACCAGTAAACCTGAAAGAAATGGATAAATTTCTGGATGCTTAAGCCCACCCAAGCCTAAACCAGGAAGAAGTTGAAAACCTGAATAGACCAATAACAAGGTCTGAAGTTGAGGTAGAAATTATTAATAGCCTACCAACTAAAAAAAGCCCAGGTCCTGATGGGTTCACAGCTGAATTCTACCAGCTGATACCACTCCTCCTGAAACTATTCCAAACAATACAAAAATAGGGAATCCTTCCCAAATTATTTTATGAGAACAACATCATCCTGATACCAAAACCTGGCAGATTCAACAAGAAAAGAAAACTTCAGGCCAATATCCATGATGAACGTAGATGAAAAATTCTTCAATAAAATACTGCAAACCAATTGCAACAGCACATCGAAAAGCTTATCCATCACAGTCAAGTAGACTTCAACCCAGGGGTGCAAGACTGGTTCAACATACTCAAGTCTATAAACGTAATCCACCATATAAACAGAATAAAAGACAAAAGCCACATGATTATCTCAATAGATGCAGAGAGGGCCTTCGACAAAATGCAACAGTCCTTTATGCTAAAAACTCTCAATAAACTAGGTATCAATGGAATATATCTCAAAATAATAAAAGCTATTTATGATAAACCCACAGCCAACGTCATTCTGAATGGGAAAAAACTGGAAGCATTCCCTTTGAAATCTGGCACTAGACAAGGGTGCCCTCTGTCACCACTCCTATTCAATACATTACTGAATGTTCTAGCCAGAGCAATCAGGCAAGAAAAAGAAATAAAGGGTATTCAATTAGGAAAGGAGGAAGTCAAATTGTCTCTATTTGCAGATGACGTGATTGTGTATTTAGAAGACCCCATCATCTGAACCCAAAATCTCCTTAAACTGATAAGCAACTTCAGCAAAATCTCAGGATATAAAATCAATGTGCAAAAATCACAAGAATTCTTATACATCAATAACAGAGAAACAGAGAGCCAAATCAAGAGTGAACTCCCATTCAAATTGCTTCAAAGACAATAAAACACCTAGGAATACAACTAACAAAGGATGTAAAGGACCCCTTCAAGTAGAACTATGAACCACTGCTCAAGGAAATAAGAGAGGACACAAATAGATGAAAAAAACATTCCATGCTCATGGTTAGGAAGAATCAATATTGTAAAAATGGCCATACTGCCCAAAGTAATTTATAGTTCAATAATTTATCCCCATCAAGATACCTATGACTTTCTTTACAGAACTGAAAAAGAAAACACCTTAAACTTCATATGGAACCAAAAGAGAGCCCACATAGCCAAGAAAATCATAAGCAGAAAGAGCAAAGCTGGAGGTATCATGCTACCTGACTTTGTTCCTTTCTTCCTCTTTTGCTCTCTTCTTTTTGACTAGGTAATTATCTCTTGCGGTATACTTAGGTTGCTTGCTTTTTATCTGTTATTTATCTATTACAGGTTGTTGCCTTGTGGTTACCATAAAGCTTACAAAAAAACGTATTTATAATAAACTATTTTAAACAGATAATTTTGATCACATAAAAATATTTTACACTTTTGCTCTTGTTCACACATTCTTGTTATTGATGTCACAATTTACATGTTTCTTTACTGCATAATCCTTAGCAATTATTGTAGTTATTTTTATTTTTAATAATTTTATCTTTTATCCTGTATGATAAAGATTTAAGTGATTTTGCCAACCACTGATTACAATGTTAAGAGTATTCTAAATTTTACTATGTACTTAACATAGTCTATCTATGCTTTGTACTTTCATGTGTTTTTATGACATCAGCTAGTATTTTTATCATTTGTACTGAAAAAATTATTTTAGCCTTCTTCATAAAGAAGGTCTAGTGTTAATGAACTCTCTCAGCTTTTGTTTGTCTGGTAAAGTTCCTCTCTTTTCAATGTCTGAAGGATAGGATTGCCAGGTATGGTATTCTTTGTTTGCAGGGTTTTGTTTTGTTTTGTTTTCTCATTGAGTACATTGAATGATTTCGTTGAGTTCATTGAATATCCCACTCTCTCCTGCCCTGAAAGGTAACTTCTGAAAAATCAGCTGATAATCTTATAGACATTCCCTTGCACATGACATGTTATTTTTCTTTCACTGCTTCCAAAATTATTTTTTGTCTCTGACTTTTGGGAATTTGACTATAATGTGTTTCAGTTAATGTCTTTATATTTAATCTATTTAGAGTTTTTTTTGTACTTCATGGATCTAGATGTTCCTTTTTCTCACCACTTATGGGAAGTTTTTCATGATTTTTTTTCTTTTTTTTTTTAAAAATAAACTTTTATTTCAGGTTCATGTGAAGGTACATATGCAGGTTTGTTATATAGGTAAGAGTACGTGTGCAGATTTGTTACATAAGCAAATTATATGTCGCAGTGATTTGGTGTATAGATTATTTTGTCCTCCAGGTGATAAGCATAGCATCTGATAGATACTTTTTCATTCTTTTCTCTCTTTTTACCCTTCATCCTCAAGTAGTTCACAATGTCTCTTTTTTTCTTCTTTGTGTCCATATGTATTCAAAGTTCAGCTCTCACTTACAAGTGATAACATGCAGTATTTTACCATTTATTGGTTTTCTGTTCCTGTGTTAGTTTGCTTAGGATAATGGCCTCCAGCTCTATACATGTTGTTGCAAGCAACATGATTTTATTGTTTTTATGGCCATGTAGTATTCCATTGTGTATATGACCACATTTACTTCCACATTTACTTTATTTAGTCTACTGTTGATGGGCATTTAGGTTGATTCCATGTCTTTGCTGTGTGAATAGCACTGCAGTGGACATACATATGCATGCATCTTTATGGTAGAATGATTTATATTCCTTTTGGCATATGACCCATAATGGAAGTGCTGGGTCAAATAGTAGTTCTGTTTTAAGTTATTTGATAAATCTTCAAACTGCTTTCCACAGTGGCTGAACTAATTTGCATTCCTGCTAGTAGTGTATAAACATAACCTTTTCTCTGCCACCTTGCTAGCATCTGTTATTTTTTGGCTTTTTAATAACAGCCATTCTGACTGGTGTGAGATGGCATCTCACTGTGGTTTTAATTTTCATATATCTGATGATTAATGATTTTGAGCATTTTTATATGCTTTTTGGCTGTGTGTAGGCCTTCTTTTGAAACATGTCTATTTATGTCCTTTGCATACATTTTAATGCAGTTGTTCAGGTTTTGCTTGCTAATTTGTTTAAGACTTTTGTAGATTCTGTGTATCAGACCAAACTATGTCAGATGCATAGTTGGCAAATGTTTTCTCCCATTCTGTAGGATGTCTGTTTACTCTGTTGATAATTTCTTTTGTTTAATTAGATCCCATATGCCAATTTTTGTTTTTGTTGCTATTAATAGCTTTTGGAATCCTCATCATGAAATCTTTGCAAGATCCTACGTCCAAAATAGTATTTCCTAGGTTTCAGGGTTTTTACATAGTTTTACATTTAACTCTTTAATCCATATCGAGTTTACCTTTTTAAATGATTTAAAGAATGGGTCCAGTTACAATCTTCCACATGTAACTTTCCTGTTATCCCAGCATCATTTATTGAATATAAAGTTTTTTTCTCACTGTATTTTTGTCCACTTTGTTGAAGATCACATGTTTATAGGTATGTAGCATTATTTCTGGGATCTCTATTCTATTCCTTTGGTCTATCTGTCTGATGTTGTACTAGTATCATGTAGTTTTGGCTACTGTAGACTTGTAGTATAATTTGAAGTTGGGTAATGTAATGCCTTCAGCTTTGTTCCTTTTGCTCAGGATTGCCTTGGCTATTCAGGCTTTTTGGTTCCATATAAATTTTAAAATAGTTTTCTAATTCTGTGAAGAATATTTTTGGGAGTTTCTGATGAACAACAACAGAATTTATAGATTCAATAAATTGCCTTGGGCAGTATGTCCATTTTAACAATATTAATTTTTCCTGTCCATGAACATGGAATGTTGTTTGTTTGTGTCATCTCTGATTTTTTTGAGCAGTGTTTGGTAATTCTCCTTGTAGAGGTCTTTCACCTCCTTGGTTAGCTGTATTCTTAGGCATTTTATTATTTTTATAACTATTGTGAATGGGATTGTGTTCTCCACTTGGCTGTCTGCTTGGACACTGTTGGTTTATAGGAATGCTTGTGATTTTGTTCCTGAAACTTTGCCGAAGTTGTACATCAGCTGAAGGAGCTTTGGGGCTGAGATAATGGGATTTTCTAGATATAGAACTGAATCATATGCCAACAGGGGTAGTTTGGCTTTCTCTCATGCTATCTGGATGCCATTTATTTCCCTCTACTGCCTGATTGCTCTGCCCAGGACTTTCAGTAATAGATAGAAGATTTGTCTTGTTTTAGTTTTCAAGGGGAATGCATCCAGCTTTTGTCCATTGAGTGCAATGTTGTCTATGCATTTGTCATAGATGGCTGTTATGGTTGTAAAATATATTCCTTCAATGCCTAGTTTGTTTAGAGTTTAAACACAAAGAGATGTTTAATTTTTATCTAAAGCCTTTTCTGCATATATTGATATGATCACATGGTTTTTTAGTTCTTTTTATGTGATAAATCACATTTATTGATTTGATTATGTTGAACCAATCTTGCATTATGAAGCTTAGTTGATTGTG